ATCCAAGATGGCCGACTTCTAAATGGCCACCATGGTCACCACCCATCTTGAGGAGTTTGCCCCCTCACATATACTAATGTGCCACAAACAGGACTTGAATATCACCAACCATTCCCATGTTATTACGGTGTATCCATATAAATGGCCCACCCTGTATATTGTATCTTAACTTATTTTACTTGTAAGGATCAGTCAACCAATGAGCGCAGCGTTTCCCCTGTGTGACAGCTGACTCATTTGCATGATGAAGTAAAGTTGTCTACAATAATAACTGAAAAATTAAGTAAAAGAATTGAATATGGAAGGAATGTAGAATGAAAATGCATTGAATGAATGGGTCTGAATGAATCTCTGCAAATGTATATAAATACAGAAAAACCTTTCATAAATGAAGGCCCTGTATTTTTTTTTTTTATTATTATTTTTAATTCACTTAATGCTACGTTAATTTATTGAGTCATACATACGTCTGTACACCATCGCCTGATCATAGCTTTAACACCTTCTTGTCCTCAAACGGTACACTCACCCTTGTTTTAATCATGAGCACAAGCCCAGATTCCAACACTTAACCCCCACCCAAACACACACACACACACACACACACACAGAGGACACCATTTTTTTTTTGTTTGTTTGTTTTTACGTGTACCATACAAAGTGCATGAAAAGGTAGATGTGCTGCGTTTTCCTCAGCTGTGCCAAAGAGGCAAAGACTCCCTCATCATCCTGTTCATTATTTATTCAAAGGTATTTGATGGAATTAATAATGCAAGAGGATAAATTTATAAGCATTAGGTTGTCTGCGTAGCTGTCTGAGTCTATTCTTTCCCGCCACCTTTTCTCTGCTTTCTTTGGCTCTCACTCCCATAAAGAGGACTCCCACCGAGCTTCTAAATGCGCGCTTATATAAACCTCTTTTTCCGCTTTGTCTGAGACTCCCCCACAAATCCCCATCTGACAGTGTTCTCGCTCTTTTATTCCTACTGTCTCATGCCTCTGACTCCCTGTTCATTTTTTTCCATGCTCGTCTTTATTTCTCTCAGTCTACAGTATATGCCTCCCACATGTTTTGTGTACTTTCTCTTTTTTCCTCCATTCCCATATTTCTTTGTTTTCCTGTTCCCCACAACTTTACAGAATTACATTTGCACTTATTACCAGCAACCATCTCCAGTCGATTAGAAACTCATTACATTTTCATTGTTTTTATTGTAGCCAAATGCACTGGGGACACCCTATGGAGGTGGATCAAGTGAGAAAAATGTTGCACTCGATGCGTTGATGCTTTGCTTTGTTTACACTTAAACAAATTTATTCCATTCTGTTTTGATTTGATGCATTATACCGGGTGGGGAAAGGGAAAAAAATAGTCCTACTTGTTTTCTCTGTCTGCAGTATTGCCAGTGGTTTCGGTGGGGCTTTGTTTGTCTACCTGAACCGACTCATTGTCCAGTTCATGAGGAAACAGAAGGTCATCAACAAATTTCTAATGAAAAAGTAAGTATAATCACCTTAATAAAGCAATAGGTGCATACAAAGTACATACCAGAAAGAATATTCACTGCATTTTCTCAAGTGATATAGTAACATCTGATCGTTTTTTTTTCTATGTAAAGCAGAAAGCATGGTGCATTGTTACTTTAAACTTGTGTCAACTGTCAGGATAACATTGTACAATAACCATCATTCGAAAATGGGAAAATGTAAGTTGATTAAATTTTAGTTAATAGTTTTTAGAATTGGCCAAAGTAATGCAGAAATAGTGTTTGATAATTGGTTAATACTGTAATTGCTTTGTAGTAATGTGTGGGTGGTTTATTTGAAATTGCAACTTTAATGAAAGTTGCAATTTCATGACCCTCTGGGAATGAGAATAAATGAATGTGCTCAAAACGACAATAACAATCTCCCGTTCCACCACAAACCTACTAAAGCTGCTTAGCAGAAATCGAGAGTCATCATACCAGGCAGTGTTTTTCCATTCTTCTGTAGTTCAATTTTGGAGAGCCTGTGTGAACTGTAGCCTCGGTTTCCTGTTCTTAGCTGACCAGAATGCTACCTGGTGTGGTCTTCTGCTCGCGCTAGGCCATCTGCTTCAAAATCCAGCATGTTGTACATCCTTGTTTCTCTGCAAACCTTGGTTGTAAACAGTTGACAGGTGACTTCCTATGAACTCAGAGTTCATCAACAAACCAGATTCACAGAGAGAACTGCTGCTTGGTGGATAATATAAACTCTAGAGATCATTTAGTGGGCAAATCTCACTACTTTAAATTAGTTGCTCAGGTCATTTGGCACCAACATCCATGCCATTCAAAGTCACTTAAATCACCTTTATTCCCCATTCTGGTGCTCAATTTTAACTTCAGCAGGTCGTCTTGAGCATGCCTACATACTGAAATGTGTTGAATTGCTGCTATGTGATTATCTCACCCTAAAAAAAACAGTCAGATGTTTATAAATGGGTATTAGGTACTGATTATAATTAGATTTTTTGTTAATAGTACCTGTCCACTACTGAATTAATAAAATAAAAAAAATAAAATAAGCACATCGTGTAACATTGCATCCAGCGGAGTGTGAATGGTAGCTAGAAAGCACTTAACAGCATAGAAGACAGTGAATAGGTGAATGTGGCATCTTGTACAGAGCACTTTGAGTACTCCTGGAGAGTAGAAAGCGCTATATAAGAATCAGTCCTTTTACTTGTAAAAGCCAAATTCAGATTAGGAATTTTTAGGGTTTGTAATATTAAAATAAGTTTATGTAGCATCAGATGTCAGACAAAATAGCAGAAATGCTCTTTTTTTCTTCTTCTTTATTTGGAGCATTATGATGTACGTGACCTGTTCTTGATCAGTGTCAAGGAACATTATGGACAAATGCTTATTTGATTTGTAACTTTATTTTTTCTTTTTTAACCCTGTAAGATCTCAACCATGAAATCATTGCCAGAAAATTCATTTTTTTGGAAAATGGAGCATTTATTGAACCTTAAATCTTTTTAAAAGAAATTAAATATTAATTTGCACATATTAGTTTTAATTTGAACCATATTTTTACAATTTTAAATTTTAATAAATTGTGCCATTAACCTCCTAGGACCTGGTGTCCACATTTGTGGACATCACATTTTGGGTTATTTAGACCAAAATACTCAATTTTGCACTACAAGGGCCTGATATCCACTTATGAGGACATTATACTGCTACTGTTCTATCAAAATATTAAACAAATGTCCTCATATGTGGCTCCTATTTTTCTTAGAAACAAAAATCAGGTTAAAAAAAAAATCTGGTAATTCTTTGTTTTTACATTCATCGGGTCCCAATCAGCCCAAATATCAAAGAGAAATTAAAAATGCATGCCGTGGAAGAGTTCGGGTCTTAGGAGGTTAATTTCGCTTCTTTCAGGGGACAAAAAATCTCACTATATAAAAGTCTCAAAAACTCATGTATCGAAGATGATACACGATTGGATTAAAAGGGATAACAAAATCCTACAAAAGACCTAGAAGATTTTCTCTTTCACATGACACTGAAAGCTGAGCACAGACCTGCTCAGTAGCCGCAATAAAATCTGCTCCCCCGACAGGATCCTGTAAAACAAAAGGTTAAACATTGTTGGACATTTGTACAAATATTGGGATAAATAGCGTTAATTGAGTTGTCTGAAGCGGTGCTAACAGGAACGTCGTCATGTACTCACAAATGTGCAGACTTTATATAATCAAAGAAAACAGTTTTATCACCAAGCCTATTTAAGTGTCACACATCGATTGTGCCTGCTTTTTTAAATCTCTTTTACTGTTTCTCTCCTTGTCTTTCTTCCTCTTTTAGACGTCTGCTGTATCCAGCACTGGTCACTTTAGTCCTTTCTACCCTCACATTTCCTCCTGGCTTTGGACAGTTTATGGCTGGAAAAGTACGTTCCCCAATTTCATTCAACATATATTATTTTTATTACATATACTCAACACCCTGCAACTATTACATTGGATGTAAAAGAAAGCCTGGGGCATTATGGACCATTATGGTATGATATTGTATTATATTTAAAATTTATGTTATGTGTCCACTGCATTTTTTGTGTCGTAATTTATGTGCAGTAAGTGTCACTGTGCAGGCCCTGAGTGCATTCAGATGTATCCATCTAACCATGATTTTCATGTCTCACTGTGTTTGCGAGCCAACTTAGATCAATAAATAACAACTTTATTACCATTCATGTCAGGGTGTAGTTGTTTTTTAATGTGTGCAGCGCAGGTTCACATGTGTTTGTGTGTCACCTGTGTACCCTGGAGGATTGGATGAGCATACTGTCTTTTTGCTCCTGCGATGACTCGCAAGTGTGTGCTTGTGGCTTCTCTCCAATATCACTCACTTCATCTGTCTTAATTATCAGTATTAGAAAGGGAATAGCCTCTGCATCAGAGGATGTTGCACACACACCGACAGTACACACACATGTGCTGTCGCTTGGTCTTGGCCGCGAATGAGACCGTGAGTCAGGCCTGTATGGCTCTAAATCTGCCCACACTGGCCCACTCCTCTTTGGAGTGCACACTCAAAATTGTGTATCTTAGTCTTACTCACAACCTCTTCATTGGTGAGCTTTGTGGATGTGGGCAGCGTTATCCCCACCAGTGTGCACCGTCAGTTTTAAAAAGCTGCAGCTCACTTTGTGCTCTTATACTCAATGCCTGCAATACTGAAAAAGTTGGAATACTTTGCAAAATGGAGAGTTCTCCAGATTCTCTAAATCTTTTGATTTTATGTACCACTGATCAATACTTTATAAAACTATAAATGGACTTTTTCACTTTTAAGTACAAGTCTTATTCACCCAGAGACCCACATATTCATAAGGTGCTATTATCTATAGCTAAGCACCTTCACACTTCACTATCTCACCCAAGGATGCATCAGCATCCTTTTGCTGACTGCTGAACCTCTGCCCATCTTCACTTCAGAGAAACGCTGCCTATCTGAGATGCTCTTTTTATACCCAGTCATGTTGCTGACCTTTTTTTTACCTGACATGTTGCCAAGTAACCTCATTAATTGCACAACTTTCCTCCAGCTGTTTCTTTTTAATACCATTTAAAAAGAGGTATTAAGATGAGAAATGGGTAATGATTTTGATTTTAGCAAAAAATTCTAGGCGCATGTGACCAAAGTTTTCTCTTTCATTATCACTTTTGTTGTCTTTTTTAGATAATGAATTATTTAATTTATTTAGATTTATGCAAAATGCAAAGAACAAAAAAAAAAGTGATAGTGCAACTCAGAGAAATCATGGATTTTTTACTGACCTAGTGATTGTTTATGTGCATTGTATCTGTGAGTGTGTGTAACCATCCTCCAACTTGGCCTGTTTTTCTTTTTTTTCCCCTTTTAAGTTTTTAAATGAATCTTAATCTGAATGAAGCATGTTGATTGGTTTGCAGCTGACTCAGAAAGAGGCGTTGGTGACACTACTGGACAACCGAACCTGGGCCAAACAGGGCATCGCCGAGGAGTTCGACTACATTGGAAATGCACAAGCCTGGAGGCACCCGCAAGTCAACGTCTTTGTCACGCTAGTCCTCTTCATCGTAATGAAGGTAGGAAGAGCTAAAAATTATTAAAAAAGACTCTGGAGTTTTTAATGCAAAATGTTTTCAGTTGTTTGCAATTTTTTAATGTGAAAACTAAATTTATCACAGTTGTTAGACTCTGTTGGCTCTTTCTGGTTGCTTCCCTTCCTTTGCTGGACTATTTAGTTTCTCTCTGAATTGAAGCATGTATGCTGGCACAGTGAGTAAATCCCATACACAGTGCATGACAGGATGTACTGCATTATAAATCCAAGGAGTGTTCACCTTTTTATTTAACACTAGAGCTGAGCTAATAGGCCAAATAGAACAGATCACATCTCTTCTTCTCACTGGTGAAGAGCAAAGGGAGACCATGTTAAATTAAAAAAATGTTGTCTGTCTTCCCCCTCAGTGTGTTATAGTTGTTTTCCCAGGAGTTTTGTGTCACTTTGATGCTGTATCAGTGAGCGAAAGGACTGATTGAAGAGGATTCAGCAGTCGGCTACAAGAATAAAGTCACATCATTATGTCTTCTGACTTTATGTAGAAGACATAAAGATGGAGAGATTCCAAAAAGTAAAGCTAAACTGTGGCTATAAATAGAACTTCTCATGCTATAGATGTAAGAAATTGACCCTCAGCTTCAGTAAACACTTTCCTGGTGAGTTCAGGAAATGGGCCTTATTGGCGTCCTCCATGATTTGTTAATTATTCCACTTGCAACTGGTGCCCTTCTGTTGATACATGTAGAAAACACAGAATGATATTTAACTGAACCTACAGCTCAGACCATTTTGACGATCCCTGGTCCAGCTCTTTGAGTCAGGATGGAACCGATGTCCGGGTTTGCCGTTGTTCTAGCACATCCACTGTTCTGGATTGTCCCATAGATTCAATTTTAAGTGACTCATGTTGCAGCAGAGAGGTGTGGAAAAAATGCAACATCCATCTCTCGAAAAAAATTTATATTTAAAAAAAAAAAAGGTTTTACTGAGATGACATATGTAGACAAAGTACCAGTTCTTGGACTTGGCTCAACTCCTAAGTTTGAGTGAGGGCCGAGCGTGGTGGAATGAAGGCTCTGCAGTCCTGGCCTCTATGGACTCAAGAAGCTGAATAGTTAGTATGTATTCATTTATCTCCTTTACCGCCCATTCTCCTGTTTTTTTTCTAGTGCTCAGTAACAAGAAAAAACAGGATTGGTCATTCTGTGCTCCACCATCCTGCCTGTTTAAGAACACGGGACCGCTTGTCTGGCTTTTTATGTAACCTTTACTTATTGGGCTGCACTGCTCAGCTGAAATGAAATGTCCTTTTCCAATACAAAAACACGGAGTGTGTTGTGGGCTTCATACAGCAAGCAGACTTCACACAGAAGTAGGAGTGGGTGCCAAGTAGAGTGGAGTAATGTGTAGGGGAGTATATGAGAGGGTGCCTGCGAGGGGGATTTGGGGGGACGTTTTTTAAATGTAGCTTTTTAAATCTGGATAGCTGTTACTGTACATGACATGAGTCAGCAAAGCTACACAGCTGTGCAATCCACTGGGGAGTCAACATATCACATAACACACAATATTAAAAAAGAAACAGAAAGTTGGCTTCCTAAACAACAGAAACAAAAAACACCCCGAACATCAGGGAAGTAGTGAGGAGTCATGTGACTTTACCTGGTACCTGGCTCAGGTGGAGGTAGATAATTAACAAAGAATTAACAAACTTTAGATAATAACACTGGGCGACCGTGGCTCAGGGGGTTGGGAAGCGTATCTGTAACCGGAAGGTCGCCGGTTCGATTCCTGGGCTCTCTGTCCTTGTCGTTGTGTCCTTGGGCAAGACACTTCACCTACTGGTGTTGGCCAGAGGGGCCGATGGCGCGATATGGCAGCCTCGCTTCTGTCAGTCTGCCCCAGGGCAGCTGTGGCTACAACTGTAGCTGCCTCCACCAGTGTGTGAATGTGAGAGTGAATGAATAGTGGCATTGTAAAGCGCTTTGGGTGCCTTGAAAAGCGCTATATAAATCCAATCCATTATTATTATTAGCCACACATTAGTGAAGTCTAATTTTATATCGATGACCATTTCAGTGTCATTTAACAACTCCTGTTTCTCTGTGTAAATGAAACTGATATGCAATTAAACATCCTTAAATATCAGTGCAATATAAGAAGCTGTCTATTTATAGACTTTGCAGTTTGACAGCTGTGTGAACATTATTATAATAACCATTATCCACAAAATCTTAAATCCAGCTCATGTTACATATTAGAATAATGAACTTTAAATTGTTTGTTTACTTCTCTAAACATAAAAATATCATGTATTTTTAATATATGTTTTTTATTTATATATTGATAATGGGCTACATTCTTTTGCCTTGGGAAGTCTGGAGGCTAACTTGGCTATCATAGGGCAAAAAGTGGAGCACCCCCTGGGCAAGTCACCAGTCTGTTTTAGAGTTTTTCAGCATTGTCGATTAAACATTGACAATATTAATTATTGTTCAGTTAACCTGAGATATTGTGAAAGTTACCCAGAAATGTTTATTTTTGGTATTAGGAATATTTTTTTATTTTTTAAAAGGCTGAAGAAAACGCTTCTCTGCTTCCCCAGCCTATAATTTTCATGTACTTTGTAACTTGTGAGTCATTTAAGCTTTATGGAACTTTTACACCACTATTCAGACTATAACCATGTTGTTATGGTCACAAGTGCTCATCCTGCAGGTATTACTCTTATTTCAAAGTCTCTTTGCAGATACTTTATTATTTATTGATGCATCTGTTACGTTTCAGCACGCCTCTCTGTGTTTCGATGTTCTTCCAATATGAATCATCACATTTTTTTTTAATATTTCAAATCCTACAAATGGGTCCTTTGAATTTCATTGCCATAAAGTCATCTAAATTAAACTCATAAAGTAAACAAATGGCCCTCTAGGCTTCCCTTTTGTCAAAAAAACAAACACAATCTGCCCTTCATAAAATGGCAAAGTTGTGAAAGCAGAATTACAGCCAAGCGCATTGTCCTACAAAATTTGGTTAAAGACACTTGGTGAAACAGGAATCCAACACTTACCTAAGCTCCGGTGTCAAAGTTATGTAAGCAAAGAGATTGATGATGCGCACCATGTAACAGCAGTGCCAGGAACTGACTCACTATCATTGTTTCTCAACAGCATAATAGCGAATGTCTCTCGCAGCTGTTTTTCTGGTCTTGGTGAACAAAGCACAGTCAAATCCCAACTTTGAATCAGTTTATAGAGTGAGTTTGATTCCCTTGTCTCTTGCATAAAGCCACTAACTTGTCTTATTCCTGTGTGTGTGTGTGTGTGTGTGTGTGTGTGTGTGTCAGATTCTGTCCTACTGCTGTCCTTTATCAAAACTCTTTCAGCATCATTCCTCTCAGCGTGACGTCCACCTCATGTGTAGGTGTGCCTATGTGCATCTTCTGGGCATGTATAGGGTTACCAAATATGCAGCATTTCGTGTAGGTCACATATAGGATAGGCATAACACGCACGCACACATGCGCACACATACACACACCAAACTTTTCTAACTAAATCACACCCCTGCAAAATGTCATTGGACAGTTTAACATCTGTCTGTATGGATGCACACACTTGGTCTCCCTTTTACACACAATTACAGTCCATACATCCACACCAGAACATAATACAACACACGCACACACAACATTCAAAGTGAGGCTGTAATGGCTCTGTCTAATTACAGCCTTTGGTTTTCCTGGATTCAGCCTGGTGACTTTCAAAGGAGAGATTGCTCCCTCTCCCTCTCCTGCTCTGTAATGAATGGTTCTTTTATTCAACTTGGCAGCCATCTTGTCTCGTTGCGTCTTTTCATGTCGAAACTTCAGGAAGACCGAATTCAGCAGCTGAACTTCTGAAAGCCAAGGTGCAGATAAAATGTTTAGTGTCAGGCAGTTCCAGCAGCTGGTCAGCCGGTGAAGCTGCTGTATGTGTATTTGAATCATGCAAATCAGTACAAGACAAGACAGGAAGTTAAAGAAAGTTCCTCAAGAAAAGGCTGAATTGCTGTTGTTGTGAGGTGCAGTGCTGATAACATTCAAGTCTCTCTCTCTCTCTCTGCAACACACACACACACACACACACACACACACACACACACACACACACACACACACACACACACACACACACACACACACTCACACTCATTTGGCATGCTTTGTAGTTAAATGCTATTTTTAGTGGTGTGCAATTATGCACATCAACAGCTCTCAGGAAGAGATGAGTTTATTAATATAGGTATGTCCTCCAGCCTGTGCGAGTCCTTTGTTATCTGTTGGTGTGTGTGCATCAGTGACAGAGAGCTGGCGGGACTGTAATTGGAGTGGGAATAGAAGAAGGGCCCCCGAGGGTCCCATGAGGCCCCTGGGCGACAGACTGTCCTCTGAATGTGACACACACATGCAAGTACAGAGGGCTCCCAGATGACTGACAAATTAGAGTATAAATGTCCTGGATAGTGCGTCATAACTGATACCCTTGACTTCACTATCCTTCACTCTGTCTGCCTGCTCCTGTTCTCCTGATTTCATTGTTTTCCATCATTTTAGTCAAAGAAACATCAATCAAAATCGGTCTCAACACAAGGTGCAAGAATTGTGAGTCTTGTGCTCTTATGAATAGATATATAACTTAATTTAATCAGGGGGAACCAACTGGGACCAAAGCTTGGATTGGCTGTACTTTACTGTCATTACCTGATCAAAAAGAGAACAAAACTAGCAATTATTTACTCAAGGACAAAAAAACTGAAGGTGTGACCTGATGTAGTCTGTTCCACCTTTAAGGCGGATCAGTGGATTTTGTATTGAGTATAAGGTATTATCACAATATGTAACTGCAATGTGTAACTTTTTCAAATTACTATGTAAGTTACAGACACACCTTTCAGTTTCAAGTTACCCAGAACAAAGGTGGGAAATGAGTTCTCCCATGGGGGCACATAAGAAACTGGGACTGAACAAGAAGCTGAACTCAG